ATGAAGCTCCTCCTCCTCCTCCTCCTCCTCCTCCTCTTCCTCCCCCTCCTCCTCCTCTTCCTCCTCCTCCTCCTCCTGATCCCTCCTCCTCCTGATCCCTCCTCCTCATCATCGTCATTCAGAACAGAGCAGTTTGCGATATGTCCGACATCTCTTCACCTTGAGATGTCACGATTGAACATGCTGTCTTCAAATGTGACCGTCATGTCCAATTCTCCATCTGGCCCCGCATACCAATCGGCTCCCCATCGCGCTACCTCTATCGAATCTATCTCTACCACAATCTGACATAGCAGGAGGAGAAGGAGAGGAGGAGGGAAGAGGGGGGAAGAGGAGAGGAGAGGAGAGGAGAGGAGAGGAGAGGAGAGGAGAGGAGAGGAGAGGAGAGGAGAGGAGAGGAGAGGAGAGGAGAGGAGAGGAGAGGGAAGAGAGGGAAGAGATGGAAAGAGAGGGAAAGAGAGGGAAGAGGGGGGCGGGGGGGGGGTTGAGAGAGAGAGAGAGAGAGAGAGGAGGGGAGGGGAGGAGAGGAAAGGAGGGAAAATTCGACGGTAGCAAGTCAGTAACATGGTGATGCGGATGGAGAGAGTCACCTGCCAGAACAGCCAGGACGCTCTTGGAGACTGCCATGAGATGGCAGGGGAAGGAGCAGAGGACGAGTGAAATACGATCCTCTTTGTCTCTGACTCGTTGAACGTCTGTCTTGCAAGTCAAAGGAGCAGGAGGCGATAGAGCAAAAGCAGGAGCAGGAGCCAGGAGGGAGCAGGAGCAGGAGCAGGAGCAGGAGCAGGAGCAGGAGCAGGAGCAGGAGCAGGAGCAGGAGCAGGAGCAGGAGCAGGAGCAGGAGCAGGAGCAGGAGCAGGAGCAGGAGCAGGAGCAGGAGCAGGAGCAGGAGCAGGAGCAGGAGCAGGAGCAGGAGCAGGAGCATAGTTGCCTCACATAAAAATTTGGAGGGAAACGAATCTTGACAGCAGGCGTTGCCTCGTCATCCATAACGACTCCCTGCATGCGATACTCGCATGAGCTGCATAACATGTCCTGACATGCGCTGGCAAGAAACGAGCAGGACAAGACAAGACGACAAGTCGACATGAAGGGGAGGAGAGAGGAAGACACATCAGCATACGACGACAAGTACCGTCATCACATCCAAGGTTGCGTTGTGCCCTCTGACTTCTTTCAACCCTTCCCATCCAAACCTGCCATATCGCATGTCCCAGTGAGTGAGGGGAGCAGAGGCTGGTAGCCGCTCACCTGTAGATCCCGATCTCCTCCCGTGTGCAGTTGTCTCGGCAGCTCTTGAGGAGGAAGGGAGAAGACAACGACAGAGCGCTTGCTGAACACATTCATATCAATGATTGCATGCAGAGGCTCTAAACTGTCTGCCAAAAAATATGATAACCCTCCCTCCCTCCCTCCCTCCCTCCCTCCCTCCCTCCCTTCTCCTCCTTCCTTCCTTTTCATATTACCTCTCCTCTCCCCTCCTTCTCTCTCCTTTCCCCTCCTTCTCTCTCCTCTCCCCTCCTCTCCTCTCCTCTCCTCTCCTCTCCTCTCCTCTCCTCTCACCCTCTCCTCTCCTCTCCTCTCCCCTCCTCTCACCATGTATCAGCATCGCGATCGTCAACTTCGCATCATGCATCTGCCCGACAGAGTCGTCGGGCCCAGATATTCCCTGTGAAGATGGCAGACCGGAGAATCACCTGTGAAGATGGTAGACCAGTACAATCGCATGCAAGCCAGCAGCAAGCCAGCCCTGCATGCAAGCCCGATGCGAGCACGTTTATAGCTGGCATGCAGGGGGCAGGGAGGAGGAGAAGAGAGAGGGACAGAGGGAAGGAGGAGGGGAAGAGAGAGGGGCAGGGGGAACGGATATAGGAATGGAAAAGACAGATGAGATGTAGGGTTTGGAGCAGGATAATGACCAGGAGGTCGATGAAACAGGAGGTAACGAGGGCGAGAAGAGCTGGAGGCAGAGGGAGGGCGGAGCTCTTTCGTCTCCATCCCCCTGTGCCCCCCAACCCGTTTCTCCTTTGCTGCAGAATGCTAAGGATAAGATATCTATGATGTTCCCCAGTAATGTTCAGTCTTGAAGCCTGACACCACTTTCTTGTTGTGGTAAGGATGGCGAGGAGGAAGAAATCCAAGGCAAAGATGATGCAGGAGAAGAGGAAGGAGGATGAGTCGACAGCAAAGAAGAACGCGCCCTCACCCAAGAAACGACAACGAGCGATCATTGATTCCGATGTGAGATTTGCTGCTTGCCTCTCCCACTTAAACTCTTTCTCCTCCCTCGCCCCCCGTGTTCTCCCTCCCCTCCTTCCCTCTCTTCCCCTCCTTCTCCCTCCCCTCCCTCTCCCTCCCCTCCTTCTCCCTCCTGCTTCTTTTCCACACCGCTGCTACTCTGATCCATCATTGCAGGTTGACTCCCCGTCATCCGACGAGGATGAGATCCAACTCCTAGCAGACGATTATGCAGACAACCTAACCTCCAGCCATCGGCACTCCGAAGACGAGCAGGAGGAGGAGCTCGAGGACATACGAGCTGGCATCTTGCTCAACTCCATCACCATGTTCGAGAGCGAGCAGATGTCGATGGAGCCGATGGAGTCGATGAGGAAGAAGCAGCGAAGAAGAGCCAAGGCGACGACTTCCCTCCAGGAGGTGGCGCTGAAGCTTTCAAGGTTCGTCTACCACAGCACTGAAGCCTCGCACACCATCAAGTTCTCGGCTGAGGACACGAGCGAGGCCCTCAAGATCGTGCGGCTAGGGAACGCTTTCGGCCTGCAAGGGAGCGTGAAAGAGGCTGCCATGGTGCGGGAGATCCGTTTTGACTGGCAGCAGGAAGCGGTCATCCCCAAACCCGTGCATATGAGGAGGCTGCTGCTCGCCCTGGGTGAGCACGTAGAGGATGAGGGGTCGCTCAAAGGAAGGATGAGAGGGGGCAAGCTCGAGGCAGCACTGCGCAAGAAGCCCAAGAAAGCTCGGAGCATCGCGTTCTCCTCAGCTGGGCACATGCAGGAGGGACAGCAGTCTTCTCAGCGTTCGGAGGCTGCCGGGCAGGAGGCAGCAGGTGAGCGGAATGTGAGAGTTTTGATGAGCATCTCCTTACCTTCTGTAGGCGACTGTCCGGAGATCCACTCCTCTATCTACAGCAGCGTCGCTAACCAGCTCATGGCCAAGATGGGCTACACACCTGGTCAAGGTAAGCAGCAACGGTCTGAAGTCTAAGACATGTCGCTGACTGTCTCACAGGGTTAGGAAGGAAGAAAGACGGTATCAAGGAACCAATATTGGCGCAGCAGCGGAAAGGGAAAACAGGAATAGGAGCCTTCTCGTGACGAGTTCCGCAACACTTTCACGTGCCACATGTTTCTCCTACTTGTTCAACCTTGACTGTTTGTCTCTCCTACTTGTTCAACCTTGACTGTTTGTCTCTCCTACTTGTTCAACCTTGACTGTTTGTTTGTCTTCAAGTGTCCCGATCACAACATACGTTGATACATCACTGATCTTTATTCATCGCCCTGTATCCTCAACTAAATCTAGAATCGAATAATTTACTGGGCCTTGGCAGCCTGCAGCAATGTAACATGATCAGCATCAAGTAAACCAATCTCTTCTCGCTCTCTCACCTCCTTGGCAGCCTTAGCCGCAGCCTTGGCTGCCTTCTTGGCAGCAGCAGCCTTCTCCTTAGCGGCCTTGAGCTCAGCCTCCTTGGCCTGAACCTTAGCGACGTTGGTAGCGAGAGTTCCCTTGTTCACTCCGTGGGAGTACTGCATGGCAGTTGGCCACCAGCTGGGCTCGGGGGTGTTGGGGTCAGCGATCATTCCAGGGTAGATTCCTCCGAGGAAGTATCCGGCAAGGAAGAAGGAGGGGACAAAGGAAGCTCCGAAAAATCCAAACCATTTCAAGGTACCAAGGCTGCTAGTGTCAGTGATGTCCTCAAGGCCCATGCGGAGAGCAGCCTTGTTCTGCCACGATCAAGACAAGTCAGCCTCTCAACGATGGCAACTTCCGTCGAGACCCACCGCTGGGCGGGCAGCCTGCATGGGGGCGGCCGGGCAGAAGGAGGAAGACTTCAACTGCAGTCCTCTGCAGCAGAGTCAGCAAGGATCAGACAACCAACGCAGCAAGGATCAGAGAGAAAAGAAGGGGAACAGGTCGAGTTAGAGGCTACAAGACAACTTCGAGAAAGTCGTGTCAAGTCATGACACCCCTCTGACAAGCCTTGGGGGCGCGTTCACGAAACTCAGTACATTTCGCTGAGTTCTCACAGGAATCATTTACACACGCAAGTCGTATGAAGCATGCTACTGAAGAATGCAGTACCATGACAACCAACAAACAGCAAATGTCAACATCAACCGCAATCAATCGGAACAACGCTGTTCTCAAACCAGCCGTCAATGAAATTCAACAGCAGGGAACGGTATGCTCATTGGAGGAAGGATTCTTGCAATCAAGGCCTTGTCATCACGAATTTAAACAAGCAAAAGCATGTCACGCATGACTTGTGCTCGACATTCCCACGTTTAATTCCCGCGAGCCACTTGACATCAGCATTTGCATGGCATTGCTCTCTTTGTGGACAATCAACACGTTTTTGAAGAGCGTTATGACAGTAAGTTGAGAACTGATAATCAGGAAGACAGTCACGATACATTCTGCATCATCATCATCACCACCACCACCTACTACACCACCATGTGCCTTGTCAACATGTCAGCACGAGAGTCAGATACGCTACATCGTTATGCTTCACGATCAGAGCAGGGAAGTCATTATGACGCATAGAATGAGGTCCCCTGTACTCGGATCAGTCGCATTCACCTGGCAGGGACAGAGGAAGGAGCGAAGGCTGAGGCTGCAGCGGCGGCGACGAGGAGGAGGGCAGAGCGGAGCATGGCGGCGCTTGCGGGAGGTGGAGGGGGTCAGGCTTAAGGCGGCCGTGTGCCCGCCTATAGTTCGAGCTAATGATGCATTTATCCTTTAGGGGGTAGTCATATTTTCATAAATATTATGTTATATTTCAAATATTTGTGAACAAACACAGAAAAGTAAAGTGAAGTTTGGTTGTAAAATTTGAAACTTCATAACACACGACGTGGAGGACCCCACCATTTACACTATATAAAAACAGGAACTTTTTGTGATCCTGCATTCAAATGTTCCTGTTTGATCGGGCCCACCCTTGTTACTCGATTCCAAGTTCCACCCACCCCATTTCCTGAGACCACCCCCATCTACTACTCTTACTACCCCCGGTCATTTCCACCCTCGTACCCCCACCATCCTTGCACCTCTCCAAAGGTCTGCATGCATGACTACCCCTTCTTTTGATATACTTTACTACCGGTACTTCCAGCCCCCTTCTTTTTTTCCTCTTGAATGTGCCATTGATTACCCCACCCCCCCATATCCCACCCTTTCATCTCCCATTCTTCATCTCCCACCCCACCCATACCCTATACCTCGATGACGGGAAATCCCCTTGCCGAACCACCCCTGGAATGGGGTAGATACTACAAGCACTACCCCTCAATTTCATATGAGAACACCCAGCAATTTGAACCACGGGTCATGAACTGGACCCACCACCAAAACTCCATCGATGGACCCCACGAATTGAACTAGGTGAAAGCGTTGTCAAGGGGGTGAAGTCAGCCTCTCAAGTACCGGGGTGGTTCCTGCTGTTTTACCGTCCCGCACAGGGGTGGGGTTAATCATGGACCGGTAAATCCCAATGGAAAAAGTAGGGGTACCGGTCGCCGTTGAGAAACAAACGGCCGTGAACTGTAAACCGTGAACCGCCCCTACGGTCATCTGCCGGGTAGGTGGCCGGCGCTCCCGGGGCCTCAGGCGGGCCGCCGACCTCCGGGCCTCCGGGGGCCCGGAGGCCGGCGGCATCACTGACGGACCCGGGCGGCGGTTCCGTCCAACAGTGCGGATTTTTGGAAATCCTACCTGAATGTTTGTCTTCATTTTCAAATTTTAGAGGGATCAGCAAATTGACCCCTTGGAAAATTTCGATGATATCTTGAAACTTATGTTGCTTCTATAAATGATTTATAAAAGTACTCAAAATCAGCATCATGGCGTCGCCCACGGCCTTTCCCCGGAGCGGAGGAGGAAGAGGGAGAGGAAGGGGATAGGAGGGAGCGAAGAAAGGAAAGAGAAAATCGTATGGAGGAGCCAAGAGTGCAGGCAGCATGCGAGGTAAGCTCCAAGAGGGGAGAGGAGGACCCAATTTGACCTTTTGAGTAACGTTGTACCGCTCCTATTGCAGGTCGTCGGATGAGCTCGTGCTTTGGTGCCATCCCCGCCTTTGCTGGATAGGAGTTTGGGACGTTTGTTAACATGGACGCTCACAAGAGGAAGAGGGCAAAGAAAGAAGTTCAAGTCGTTGCGAGCACGGTAGAAGAATCTTCTTGTCAGCTGTTGTACTACTAACAGTTGATTCCTCAGAGCCCGTCGGATTTCGGCGGGTATGAGAGCAAAGCATCCAGAGCCGAGAAGAAGAAGAAGACAAGGATGGACCAGAAGGTTTGAACTTTCACCCACATCCTTTTACCATGTTGAGAGGAGAGCAGGGACTTGTTGTTGAGTTGGACAGGCTCCTACCCAAGATCGGTGAGGAGGATGAGGAGGGGGAGGGGGAGGGGGAGGGGGAGGGGAAGAGGGGACGGGGGACGGGGGACGGGGGAGGGGGAGGAGGAGAGGGAGAGGGAAGGGGAAGGGGAGGGGGAGAGGGGGTATTGGTCCACTTGACAGCCCTGAGCAGAAAAGCCTCCTGAGCCCGCAAAATGTGTCGGGGCAAGAGCTCTCGGCTCCACAGGACGATCGCTGTTGAATATTCTTGAGGACGCAGCAAAGCTTGTGAGGGAGATTCGGATGAAGGAAGGGGGCATGGATACGCTGGATGCAGCATCTGATGATGAGGGCGAGGAGGGGAGGCAGAATCGAGTCTTGCCGATCACTGATGGCATACTGAAAGAAGGTTCGCCCGCATGCGAGCTCATGTCAGTGCTCAAAGAGCTAGCAGGCGTCCTGAGCAGCGAGAGTCTGCTGGTGTTCGAGGCAGACCTTGTCACTTGGAACATCAGGTGGGGCTGGACGACCGTCTTAGGCTGGATGTGACATGTTGGGGCAGATCGATGGGTAGGGGAATGCAGGAATTCTTCAAGCTAGCGCCGTGGGGGTCGTGCGTCGGACAGAGCTTGCTGCACCTGGTGAGAGCTGAATAGGTGCGAGAGCGATAGATGATTGAGGGCTGATGCAGGTACACGATGACGACAAGCATATTCTACGCAACGTTTCGATGAGGTCGATGTCGGGAGGACATGGCCTGTCAGTCGGGTGAAGACCAAGTTGATGCTGCTGGTACTAGAGGTTGATCGCTTGTCAAAACAGCGACCGATTCTCAATGAAGTTGATGCATTTCACATTGAGGAGGCGGAAGGTAGATTGTTTCCTTGTCCTGTTCTTCTTTTCTCAGCGATCTCTTCGTTGCCTCTCTTGCAGACCAACGACAAGAAGCTCAGGGTATTTGAATACATCATCTGCTCGTTCAGACTGGTGCATCATGCGAAGCTTGAATTCGGAAGGTGCAAAGATTCAGATGTACCAATGCTGATGATTGCGATGATAGAGATCATGATGATTACGGTGATGGTGATGGAGAGTTGGAGATAATGATGATGAGGTGCAATGAAGAGACGATGATTGAGATGACGATGATGGGAAAGATGAAGTGGGTAATGATGGTGATGTTCATTGTGATGAGGAGGTGATACCAATGTATGTAATTCCATCAAATGCAGGTTGGCATTGTTTGTTGGAAATTACCCGGAGACACCTTCACATGATGAATTCCTCAACTTTGAACAATCCAGCTTGACAGAAGGGAGCACTATGATGTTTGATCAGGTATGTTCATGCAGCTGTTTGGTTCATGTTTGACCATACTCACTTCCCTCACCTTTGGGGTCTTCTCAACCTCTCAGGACTTCTTTGGGGTTTATCGTCTCAACACTCGTATGTCCACTTGCAACCCGGCAGAGGTGAAGGAGCAGACTGAAGTTTCCAAAAGTCACTAACAAGACAAAAATAGATACGACAAGCCGCAACAAACGCCCTCAACTTCTTGACTAGCAAGACCGTCGACATCAAATCTGGGCTTGTGGATGTGTGTCTTGTCAAGTTAGAAGTCTCGTCCTCACCAGTGTGCGATCGCAGGAAGACTTTCTATTGGTCCAAACGCTCCAGGAGCGCATTAGCGGCAAATCCATGATGTCCTCCTTGATGACCTCGATCACCAGCATGGTGGGTTTGTCTTGCTAGTTGTGATGGACGGAACAAGATGAAGGAGTGTTGGGGGAGATTTGTGCAGAGAGTTGTGAAGCAAGATGAGGACGCTGCAAAGTTAGATGGCTGCTATGTAGATGGTGACCGTGACCGTGACCGTGACCGTGACCGTGACCGTGATGGTGATAACGAGATTGTTGATTTTGTTGCTGTTGGAAATCGTGATACTGAAGATGGGCAAGATGATGAAATGAACGAGTACGAAGAGTATGAGGAGGATCTGAAGTGTCGACAGGCATACCGTCTCATACATATTCATGTCAGTTATGATGAGAGCGATGAAGGAATTCCTCGGGTGAGGCAGAAATCTACCTTCGCTCACTCGTTCCCTTCTCTTATCTTTCATCCCCTCCCCTCCCTTCGAACCTTCTGCTCCCCGCCCCCCTCTCTCGCTAGCGTACGATTGGCTGCCTCGCTAAATCCTGCTCCTAAACTCGTTCCTTCCTTTCCCTGCTCCACGACTCCTCCACGCACGTTCGTTCTCTCACTCTGCGACACCAACCTCTCCATCTTTTCTTCTCTTCCTCTCCCCCCTATCATGTCATGCTCCTCCGCTGATCGTCTTCCCGTCCCCTCTTACCGCTGCTCACGGATTTCTCCTATTGGGTTTCATTTCCTTCTCCTTCCATCTTTCCTCCTGCTCCTGCCCCTACTCCTTCTTCTGCTCATGCTCCTGCTCTTTCGCTTTTGGCTTCACTGCCTTCGTTCTGATACTGTCGCAGTTTCGATTTCACTACCGCCTCAAGTTTCCACAGGTAAATGCTCTACTCGTGTTCTCTCCTCTCCTCCTCCTCCTCTGCTTCCTAACTCCATCATCGTGCTTGTCTCCTCCTGTTCTTGGCGCATCTTCATTCTACCTCCTCGTTCCAGCTCTACTTGAGCTTCCTCGTCCCTCACCTCGTCTGTGGCTGCCAGATGCTCGGAGGGTTCGAGACGAGGTGGAGACTTTTCTCTGAAGTTCCTATCGATGGCACCGAGGTGGGAGGCAAAATGGGGAAGGAAGGAGGCGATGGAAAGGGTGGAGCAGGAGCAGGAGCAGGAGCAGGAGAAGGAGAAGGAGGAGGTGAAGGGGCAGGAGGAGGTGATGGTTAGTAGCATCAGTGGGCCTGCTGCTGCTGCTTGTGGTGATCTTGGAAGAGAAGCAGGACAGGGGAAGGAGAGGAGATGACAAGTTTAATTTCAGTCGCAGGTCAAGTTGGAGAATGTTGGAATTTTGAGTACTCACCCAGTCTTGAATGTAGAGGCTTCGTCCTCCAAGGTTTGCTGACTTCCTCTCCCCTCACCTAGCATTGTCCATTTTTTCCTGCTGCTCCTGCTCCTGCTCCTGCTCCTGCTCCTGCTCCTGCTCCTGCTCCTGCTCCTGCTCCTGCTCCTGCTCCTGCTCCTGCTCCTGCTCCTACTCTCCTTTCTTTGCGCTTTGTCCTCATCCTCGTCCTTCTTTCATCTCACTTCGTGTTGATTCTCCTTCCCTTGGATCAGATCGAGGGGATTGGTTATCAGGTCTACCGGGACGGGGATGGGACCAAGTAAGAGGGCAGGGAGCAGAGGGGAAGGCCATGATTGATGACGTGGCAGGCATCTGTTTCATAATCGCCACATCACCATCTACACCGGAGGCTTTCTGTTTAGCGGCGCCCTGTATAAGTCTCCAACCATAGAACCGTTCAGGTCTGTTCCCCAGCTGATCTCTCCTATCCTTACCTCGCTCTCCTCTCCTTACCTCGCTCTCCTCTCCCTACCTCTCTCTCCTTCTCTTTGTGTCCTCCCTTCTCTTCTCCTCTCTCGTCCCTTTCCCCCTTCCCCCTTCATGTCGTCCTTACCAACGAATTACTTCCTCTCCTACCCCCCCCCCTTCTTCTCTCTCTCTCTCGTCT